AGAGGCGGGGGGGGGGGGGGCTCATGGCCTGCACTGTTCGGTTGCAGACTCAAGCCACGAGCTGCACGGCGCAATCTTGCCCTCATGCCCTGGCTGGACGGGCAGCCTGGTCTTTCCTTCTTTGTGCTGTGAAGCTGGAGACCGTTCCTCCATTTGCCCTGGCGGATACCTGCGCTGTCAGCGGGTTTGTTAGCATCTTCCCAGCCCTCCCTCCAGTGATGTGCTGAAACAGCGCTCTTCTTACGCTCATCTTTCCGTGAGCAGAACTAAATCTGATTTTCATATTAAAGTTATCCAAGTAAATCAAATCCTTCTGTCTCATCTAATAAAGCCCTGGAACGGAAGAAGCCCAGAGCAAATAGCTCATTTGAAAACGAAAACAGGTGGTTTGGGCTCAAAACCACATAAGGAAAGTGCCTCTGGCCTCTCTGGTTCTGCAGTTCAATGAGCAAGGTGGTTAGCATGGTTTCCAAGATGCCTCCAAAGTCTGAGGAGAGCCCAAAACGGCATGACTACGTCATGTTGTGGGCAGCCCTTTATTTGAAAGACACAGAAACCTGGTCTTCTCATAAATATTTATTTATCTCTGGGCTGGCTGCATTGGGCTTGTGAAGGAATTTGTTTCCCCAGAGACTGGCTTGGAGCAAAAGAGGAAATTGAAATTATTTTGGTCCCAGCAGTCTTGGTAACTATGTGAGAGAGTTGCTAGTGTTCTCTTGGGGTCTGTTTGCTTTAGCATGAATAACAATGATACTAATACATAGCCGTTACCCTCATAAAGCACTTTGTGATCCTTGAGTGTAATGCAGCAGTTATCAAGCAGGGTGCCTTTGCAACCTTTCAGGAATACTGGGATGCTGTCCAGCTTTAGCAGTATCAGGTGTGCAAGCATGATTCACATGCTAAGTTCAAAGATTTCAAGTAGGAATCCATAGCGCTAAAAATACTCTGTCCTGTTGTGGTCTTCCTGAGGTCTTTGCAATAGAAGAATTGCTCTATTTTTCTGTAGTCAGAAACTGAGTGAAAATGTAAGAGCTGGCATTTTCCAAGGGGTGCCTTGAGTATAAAAAGGTTGAGAACCACTGGTATAATGGACCCTGAAAACATCTGTGAGGTAAATATACTTATTCTGCAGATGAAACCTGTAGCACAGTGAAAGAGAGTGGCTTCCTCATGGTCACCTGCAAAGTAACAGCAGAGCTGGAATGGAACCCATGAGTCCTGATTCCCTGCCCTGGGATATAACTGTTTAAGCCATCATCAGCTCTTCCTCAAATTCTCTTGGCATCATGCAGACATAATCATAAGCCTACTGTCTTCCCTAGTCAAATTGGGTGGAAGTAAGAAGGAAGGTGAATTAGGCTTCAGGCTGACTACCACTGATGTGTTAAGTGTATTCACTAACATCTCTAAAGCAGCTAGTATATCCGTTATCCTCTATGGATGGCATTACAACTAGAGAGGTTAGATTTGGGCTTTAGTTTTACAAACCCAGTGTCACTCACTTGAATATAATTTTCACCATTGGTGTGATTGGGTGCAGTCTCCACTGAAGCTGAACGATACCAACAGCAGCGTTGGGATAAATTAATGCTTGATGTTTCTTGTTACACCCTTGAATTACTTTGGCTAAACCCACTGCTTTTCTTCGCTTCATGTATGTGAAACTCCTGTTGCATACTTGCTGAGTGTCATGTTGGTGCTAAAGATACTACTTCTGCCACTTAGCACTCCCATTCCCATTGCTGTGAACTTGATCAGGGAGGATAAAAATCAACGATTAAAAAAAATAAATCAGATTTTTTATTTAAATCAGTCATATGTGAAAACAGGACTTAAGGTTATTCAAGTAATTTAAACTTTAAACTGTTACAAAAAAGGGAAAATAATCCTGGTAGTGGCAGGTACTACAAGATGCCAGTGGATTCCCTATGGTTATGGTTATGAAAACTTGCTGGAGACCTATTAAAATTGCACCCTGGGGAATTATGCAATTATGTGCCTATGCAAGTTTGCACATAAAAGGCACGCCCATGCATAATTGCATAGTTTTGCATAATTTAACCCCGGTGCAGGACTCCGAGCTGGGAGCCCCATGTGGAGGCACTGAATGTGATGGCGCGCAACTGGACAGCTTGTAAGTGGGGAAGGGGAGCTCCTACCTGCAGGAGGGGGAGCTGGGCATAGGCTTTGTGTGTGGGTGTGGGCTGTGTGCCACTGGGTTGGGCTGGCCAGCTTCTTGCCTCTACGTGTGGTTTCCAGCACTCCAGCAGAAAGCTACATGGGGAGGCATGGAACCGGCCTGGCTTGATGCATCCAGCTCCATGCCTCAACATGTGGCTTCCCGCTGGAGTGCTGGAATCCCCATGTGGCAGCATGGAGCCTGCCTGGCCCAGTGGCACATGACTCCTGCCTGCAGTACTGCAAGCCCCATGTGCTGATGGAGCCAGCCCAGTCTGGTCCAAATGTGTGTCAGTAGGCTGGATTCGGTCTGCTGCGTGCTGCCATGTGTAGCCCCTGGGACCCAGCCAGAGCTGCAAGCCGCTGGGGGCTCTGCATTTTGTGGTCATGAGCACCGTAAGGGCCTGTCATCTGCTGCTGCTGAGCTGCCAGTGACAGGGGCTGTGCATCAATGGGGGAGGGCCACACACACACCCATAACCACCCCCAATACACCCCACCCCAAACCCCACACACTCCCATAGCCACACCCTCATCACAAAGTCCCCTCTTGTCCACAAACCCTACACCCCCCTACATGGCCTCCTCACAAATTCCACCACGCACACACACACCCCTACAAAGTACCTTCATGTATTTCTAAAGAAGTTTCACATACTATTATATTTAATTTGTAAAAATGAAATCAAAAAATAAAAAAAGTAATTTTGTGTAATTTTAAATTTTTCTGCGCATAATTCCCTGGGGTGTATAAAATGGACCTGCAAGTCAGGTGGATTTTCTTCAGCTACTAGGATTGTTTGCTTGGTGACTGTATTTCCTGCTAACAGTTATGATCCGTCCAACTAGTAGTGGGCACAGAGGTTGCTCAGCCTCACTCAGAACAGCATTTTTCACTTCCCTGCATTGCTTTCCCCCTCAGAAACCTACAGGATTGCAGTGCATCAGCGTCTGAGCCTGCCTGTGTCCCCTGTGCTAAAATGCATAATATTGCTGGCCTGCTTTTGTCAGTAGAAATTCACTATGGCTTAGGGGTACCTTGGTTAGTTCCCTAGGACTCTCCATTTCTAGAAGTTCAGTACTATTACAAGATGCTGCATAATGCAGCTGGGAAGTTTACCCACACAACTAGAGGTGTCAGTCAATATTGATTCAGCACCATTAAAAGGAAAATTAACATTATTGGCAATCAGCTTTTTTTGGCTGATGTAGCCGATAAATGTCACTGAGAAATGCTGTGTGCATGTACACAGCTGCAGCATGCACATGGGCAGGAGTGCAGCCTGGCAGCTTGGAGAACAGTGTCTGGCTGAAAAGTCTGTGGTAGGGGCAGATCGAGGCCCTCACCGTGAGTGGGGCTGGGGGCGGGGCAGGCGCCGCCCGCCTGGGGAAGGAGTCGGGGTGCAGAACGGAACTGCAGGCAGCTCTTTGGGAGGGTTGGTTGCCTGCCATGCGCACACCCCCAAGGGAGGTAGGGGGGGCATGTGCCCCCTGGATTTGTTCATGGGGCAAGGGCATGCTACCTACTGCGGGCCAGGTGCTGTGCCAGCCTCTTCCCAATGGTTGGGCTGAGCCAGAGCTGAGCTTGGGGCTATGGGGTGGGCCTACAGCCTCCCCCAAATTTGTTGTAGCCTGCCCCTCCCAGTGCCGCCCCTGGTCCTGAGCCCACAACAGGCAGCATGCCCTCACCCCATACACAAATCCAGGGGGCCATATGCCCCCCATGCCTCCCCCAGGTGTGCAGGCACTGTTGGGAGCTACCCCCACCCGCCCCTGCATCCTCCAGATGAGCTGCCTGCGACTTCGTCTCATGTCCTGCCCTGGCCAGGGAGCCCCTGCCCCATTCCCTCCCTCACCATGGGGGCCTCGATCTGCTGCCCCCCCCACGACTTACTAGCCGGACGCTACTCTCCAAGCTTCTGGGCTGTGTATTGGCAATCGGATTGGTATTGGCTGTTATGGCTGGTTAATAACTGGCCGTTGGCATGAGCCAAAAAAAAACTATATCGGTGCACCCCTACGTACAACATGTATGGAATGAAAAGTATTTGGTTCAACATATGCTGTTACCTGATCCCTGAATATAGGGACCCTCCCCTGGATATAAAATGGGATTTTTGTCTCCTCTCAGACTTAAAGCTCTGATAAGGCTGCTAGCTGTGCTGGCTTTCATGGGGGAGAAATTAGACTGCTTCCCCACCCTCCCCCCAGCCTGCCTTGGATGCAGACCTGTAACATACTGTTGAAAAGCCCCAAACCTTTGCAGCTCCGTTCTGCGAAGACCTATTTATGAGCAAATTATGTGATATTGGTAGCTCAGATGTGCTGACACTGACAGGAAGACAGTTCCTCAGCTTGGAGAGTAGCATCCGGCTAGTAATATGTTCCTCAGGCTCCATTGAAGAATCTTGAAGATGCGACTCCAAAGCTTTAAATGCCTTGGATAGTCCCTACTTTGGTCCAGTGACAAGCCTTAAACCAACTGGAAGAAAGGCAGTGAATGTTCTTTTTAAAAATAACCGCTTTTCACTCGCCCTATTAAAATATGTTTCCATTAATACAATCTCTTTTTAAAAGATAAGTTTAACCATGTTAAACGGGCATAATAGCTTTTAAGTATGGTACTGTCCAAATCCAGTTTATTTCCTTGCTTCACCGCACAATATTGGTACGGGTTGCAATTGGTCTTGATAACAAAGTGTTGGAAACCCCTCCTGAGCTTTTTAGATTTTTTTTTTCATTAGCATATCTATTGCTCTTGGGCCTGAGATCGTTTTTTCATGTTTAATGTTTAAAGAGAAATTGAATTGTAAACTAGAAGTTAACTCAGATGCTGTAAATAAGATGGATGAACTTGTCACTCAGGGGCCATAAAATGGGAAATTTGTAAGTACTCTTTTAATTCAACTTTTACAGCCATATAGCAGTCAGAAAAGGTCTCGCTGTAGCTCACAGCATGGTATATGAGGTTGGGCTTGGCATACAATTTTATTATTCCCTATTGTTTCCAATAACTTCATCTCTGAGAAAATTGAAGCACAGGATGAAATGTCAGAAAATCACAAAATGTCTCCATAATTTCAAAACAGCGTGTTAATTGTATACGAATACTTTTTTTTACAGGAGATGTGTCTAGGCCACGATCAGGTTACACACTTCCAAATGAGTGTGCAAAGGTTTCATTTGCACAGTGAGGATTGAGAAGCTGCAAGTCATGCTAGCAGCAGGGTTGAGGGATGAAGGGCTGCTTGTACCTTCAGTTTAGTTTCTTTTGCTGCACCCAGGTTTTCTGCTCCCCTGACATAAGTGACAGTAAATTATATTAGCTCTCATTAAAGCCTCTGAGTTTGAATCCCTATGTAAATCTTTGCCATTTCTTGCAGCAAAGATAAAGAATTAGGACCATATTCAGCTACTGGACAAACAGGAGTGTGGCAAGAACTAGGGGTGCACTGATAAAGATTTTTTTGGGGATGATAACAACTCCCGATTAATAATGAGCCATATCAGCTGATGCCGATCCAATTGCCAATATGCAGCCCAGCAGCTTGGAGAGCAATGACCAGCTTGTCAGTCTGTTGTGGGGGGAGGGGGAGGAAAGGGTTGTGGGGGGGTACAGATCGAGGCCCCTACTGTGAGGGAGGGAGTGAGGCTGGGGCAGGAGCAGGTGCTGCCCAGCCGGGACTGGGCGGGGCATAGGGCGGAGCTGCAAGCTGCTCATGCGGGGGGGTGGCGTGGGGGGAGCTATTTCCGCTGCTGCATGCACCCTCGGGAGGCATGGGAGGGGCATGTGCCCCCTGATCCTCACAGGGCAGTCTGGGATCGGGGGCGGCACTAGGCTCTTCCTGGCGGAGGTGGGGGGGGGCTGTGCCCCCTTTGTGGTGGAGGGGGAAGAGGCCAGCGCAGCTCCTGGTCCCGAGCCCCCAGCAGGCAGCCCGCTCTTACCCTGTGCACAAATTTTGGAGAGCACACGCTCCCCATGCCTCCCCCATGGGTGCGGGCAGCAGCGGGAGCTGCCCCTCCCTCCCCCCCACGCCTCCCGGATGAACCACTCACAGCTCTGTCCTGTGCCCTGCCCCGGCTGGGCAGCACCTGCCCCAGCCCCACTCCTTCCCTTACCACAGGGGCCTTGTTCTGCCCCCCATCCTCCCCTCCCCTCCCCGACTTCCCTGCCAGGTGCTGCTTTCCAAGCTCCTGGGCTAGCTACATGTATGCTGCGGCTGCATGCATGCATGCGGCATTTATCGGTGATGTTATCAGCCAAAGAAGCTGATTGCTGTTAATGTCAATTTTCCTTTTATTGGTGCTGATATGATCTGGACTGATGTATCTGTGTGCCATTAGCAAGAGTCAGGACTGAACCCCTCATATCTCCATGCCTCGAATAAAAAATAAACTAAGTCTGGATCTGAATGTTGCATGTTATGCCACTCACTGGTTAGGTGGTGGCAAAGGCCTGAATCTTGTGCACTTGGGGAACTTATGTTTGCAATTGTGGGTATACAAAATCAGTAATAGTCTTCTACAGAATCTCCAGGCAGTGGGCAAGGTTAAACTTGCTTTCTTCCTGGAGGTTGACTTTGTTAATAGATCAACAGATAATGCAAAACAAATTCCAACCCAAGACCTTCCACCCTGTTGGCTTGGCTGTTCACTCCAGAGGAATTCCGAGACCTGATTCCAACTCCTGTGCATCTGGGGAGGACTCACTGGTGAGTTGGTAGGAATCCATCATCAGCTGGTGTCACAGCCCTGTCAGGAAATGTTAACAGGTTGAGAGAACTCCTGAGTCCTGTGCCCTCTTCTGGTTAACTATGACAGATCTTCCTTCCTGTCCTTACCCATATTCCCTTGATAGGATGAACTTAGACATCTGTATTCCCTCAGTGGCTCAGGGCAAACAAGGATTTTGAGAGGTGCCTGCTCAGCAGAGTACTCCAGTAGGAGAGGAGTTGTGTGTCATTTTGTGCCTCCATCTCTCACCTTATCACCTGCTCCATCTGGACTTGGTACTGCAGAGTGTATCAGAGTAAAATGGGCAGCAGCAAGTGTGCTACTAGCCGTTGGCATGTGATTGCCCCATCCTGTTGAAGAGAAGCTTTGGATTACCAAAGTGATAGCGGAGATATCTTGGTGACCTACTAGACCAGGATTAGTGCTTCTGCTGACTTTTGCCTCCTCTTCTAGGTGAATGGTACTTCTGGAGATGTAAAGGATGCTGTAGTGATCCTGGAAAAGACTCCCTTCCAGGAGGAGAACATCTCTGATCTGCTGAAGAATCATACCAAGTTACAGCTCCAGATGTCCAATGACATCTACAGCACCTACCACCTGTACCCACCTCCACAGCTGAGTGGTAAGTGGATATAGAGGTCCTTTGCCCCTCCAACATGCAGTAAAATTGTGTGCAGAGGATCTTGGTATGTGCTGTGCCAAAGGCCTTTCTGTCCAGCAACCTCCTAGGAGGCTCCTAGAGCAGCATTTCCCAATTGGTGTGCTGTGGCACACTAGTGTGCTGTCAGACATTACCAGGTGTGCCATGGAATCTTGGGGTGTGTGGCTTCAGCCTGTGCTGCTGCCATTATCCCACTCCATGTCTGCTCAGCCCCCCCCCCCTCCTCCCAGTGTGCCATGGGATGAAAAAAGTTGGGAAACACTGTCCTAGAGCACCCTCACTTGCTGGCTTGGGCCAATGTGAGCAGGCTCTGAGGCCCCCCCCATACGAACGCCTGTTGGGTTCTGTAGCTCTCTGAGTTAGAGTGCCTCTCTCACAGGCTGCCTGAACTTCTGTATGCACCCAATGATGTTTGCCCCTTTCTCAAAAGCTCTGAGATCTGTGGATGAAGAGTACTACCACTGCTTTTTAGTGTGTGTGGGAGGGCGTGTAAATGGAAAGGCATTTGTGTATGATCTGTTACATGTAGACACTAATATATTGCATTATTCTCCTCTCACCTACTAACTTGAGATCTAGGGTGCAATGCTTTGCCATAGTCAGCCTAGAGGACTGCAAGGTAGGAAACCTGGGTTCTACCTGTCACTCTTCCACTAGCTCATTGGTGACCTTGAGCAAGTTACTCTACTGCTTGTGTGCATTCATTTTCCTATCTGTGAAATGAGAATAAGGATTCTTGACCCCTCTGGAGACCACTTTGAGATCAACTGCATGAAGACTAGAAATTAATGCTGATGGTACTAAAACTACACTTTGTATTGATGGTTTAGCCAAAATCTAATTCTTACCATAACTCTATGGACAGCAACAAACCTGGAGAAGAGGCGTGGTGAGAGAGAGGTGGACTAAGCAAAGGAAAGTGTACTTACCTCTTACTCCCTTCTCTTTGGCTTTTTTCATTTGTACACAAACTTGAGAACCTCTTCTTGAGTTAAGTAGTAGGAAATGACCTTTGCAGAGACCTATAACAGCCTTCTCTCACTCAGAGTTATCATAATTTTGTCAGCCAGTTTTTTCTTGTGGGGTAGGCTGCTAACATGCCAATAGTGGGAATGCATTTGCCACTAACCTTGACAGTCTTGTGCAGACAGATGCCCAGGCTTTGTCTACGTTGTGGATTGTTCCCTCATGATCTCTCACATTTTTGCATAGTGAACTGCCCACAAACAATATATGATTCACTTTTGAATGTAACAGCGTGTGATCAGTAAAACTGATTGAAAAAGTTTCAGCAAAACAGTTTTCCATAGGAAAAAGTATTGATTTGCCATAGTCACATTCCCACGAAACATTTTTATTAACTTTTGATGGGGGAGAACATTGAAATGTGGTGTTTCTATAGTGTTAATACTTTTGGCTTTCCTTTTACCCTAAATATACATATTCAGTTATAGTGTATAGTTTTAATATAATGCACTAACCTATTAATATTTCATATACTCAGTAGTGTGTGTGAATGCATGTGCATAATATATTAAAAGTTTAAACAAAATGGTGAAGTCTGATTATAACATTTTGACTGTCTTTGGTCAATTACAGGGTTCTCATTTTGTAGAAAACTTAATATAATTCTCTATTCATTCTGACTCAGCCTCTCTCTCCCCTAAGGGGTGAGGCACAGTATTTACTGTAGGGATAAGGGGGCAATTGGAGGAATTGATACTAGTGCAATCAGGTAATGATTGATCTAATCTAACCATTTTTGATGGTTGTTAATGTTTTCTTCAGTGTAACATCTAGACATTTGTAGACAGCTGTGCCTAACTCGGTTCTGCCATGAGGACCGAGCACACTCATTGGTTGAATGACAATTTTTAGGGCCAGACAGCTTGGCTTTTGTACACTCTTACTTGCGGGCGCATCCTCCAACTCACCTGCCACATCCTGATATTTTTTAATAGAAAGGGAGGATCCGTGGTTGTTTATGTTCACTCTCATCATGAGTATCTTGATGCTGCTCCTTGGGGCTCCTCCTCCCCTTACACCCTGTCCATACATCAAGCAGATTTTATAGTATAGTCAGGCTGCTGGTTATCTGGTGAAAGGATGATTCAGCCCACAGTCCACTAAATCAGCCATGCTCATTTACGACTAGTGTTCTCAATTAGTAAGAGCATCTCTCCTAACTTTATCTTGAGTCACCACCCTGGTTTCATCTGGGTCTGTGACAGACTGGACAGACAAGAGACTTATGAGGCCCACTGACTGGGCTGTCCAGGCCTAAACTCAGCACAGGGTGCCAGGGGTCCTTCCCCCTTGGCACAGCTTAGAAATGCCAGGTCCTATTGCTGGCCTCTAGGCCAGCCAGTAAGTTGCTTCCTTTTTCTTTTTTTTCTCAGCCCTCCATTGAATGACTAGTCTGGGCTTAATGATTCAGCCCCTCAACACAGTTCATTGAGCTTCAGTACCCACAACCGGTGGGGCCAACCTGGGGTACCTTTAACTTTAAATATCAAAAACTGCCTAACTCAAAACAGTAATGGGACCCTGGATCCCCTCTTGGAACAAACTCATGGTAGCAACTCCCGCTGTCCCACTGAGGAAGGCGGTGTCACTCCAGGACTTCTCCTGTCGCATTGCTCCCTCCTCTTCTTGGGGCTTGTGTCCCTAGGGCTAGCGGCTTCTCTGAGCCGCTCGTCTAGCAAGTAGACTCTGACTCTGCTCGCTTAGCCCTTGCCCGTGTGTCCTGCAGCTGGGTTTCATGCTCCTCCAGCCATGGTCCTGGTCTCTCTCTCCCATCTGCTACCATGGGGCGTGTTCTTGTGATGTCTGCCCCAGCGCACTAGCCAGTCTGCACACGGCACGAGCTGGCAAAGTAGGACAGACGTAGTGCCCAGAGTTCTCTTGTCTGCTTTGCCATCAACCTAGGTCCCAGGGAGTTTAATGGCATCTGCACCCTGCCTCTGGGATCCAGTGGGGGTGCCTCTTGGGGTCTTGCCCTCCTTGGTACTGCTCATTGGGGTATTCCCTGCTACGACAACATTACTTACAGAATTAAGACTCAAAGACTATCCTGTTCTTTACTCCAAGGTTAAGCAGCTTCTACTTGAGGTTTTGTATTTTGTTCTGCTTCCTTTTGCACCCTCTGTTGCTGTACGGACTGCCCCCCCCACTTCACACCTGGTATAAATTTCCATTCCCTTTCCTCCCCACCCTCCCCTTTCCATATGCAGAGTAGGTGAAATGGCTGATAATCCCCAAACTGGACCGCTATGAACTGTGGGAAACTTGCACTATGCATAGGGTGACCATGTGTCCTGCATTGCCTGGGACAGTCCCAAATGTTGGAGGCTGTCTCAGCATCCCTGCCATTGGAGAAAATTGAAGTGAAAGTCCCTGATTGGTGGGAATCTGCCAGCATGTGCCTGAGTCCTGAATGAGGAGTGGGGCACATGTGGATGGGTTTGGGCCAGGGTTCCCAGGGTTCAATTTTCTCCAGGGTTTCCATCCAGTGGGCTGCTCCGTGGTCTGGACTCCACTGCAAGTGGAGTCGCTTATGTACTAGAGTCAAAGGTGGGGGACGACACAGGGTGGTGGTCTGGCCTGGCCCAGCCCACTCCTGGGAGCTGCAGGGGTTGGGAGCTATTTGTGTGTGTGTGTCCTGTCTGGCCCTGCTCCTGGGAGATGTGGAGACGAGGGAGGGCAGGGGGGTGTCTTTCCTGCCCAGCCCCGCTCTTTAAAGCCACAGGGTTGGGGGTGGGGAGGAAGTAGAGAATGCACTGTACTGGTGGCCCTGATCCTTGATGCCCCACCTACCCCTGTCTTGGATTTCACTCAAATAATTATGGTCACCTTAACTATACAGCACGCGACTCCAAGAAGCCTTTTACCTTTGTTGCATCATAGTGAGTCCATTAAGGACACACAACATCTCCCTTTGAAGACTGCCACTCACTTCAGATTCTTTGCACCATTACTGCTGAGCAGTTCAAATCAATTCCAGCTTTACAACTTAGTATTGTTTGTTGTTTTTGCTGCATGGTCTGGTTTCATAGTTTCATAGTAGTTAGGGGTCAGAAGGGACCTGAACAGATCATCTAGTTTAACTCCCCGCCACTGGTTGGAGCACACGCTGGGATCACATGACCCCAGACAGGTGTTCATCCAACCTCTTTTTGAATTTACCCAAGGTAGGAGCGAGGACCACTTCCCTAGGAAGTTGGTTCCAGATCCTAGCTACCCTGACAGTGAAATAGTGCCTCGTAATCTCTAACCTGAACCTGTTCTCTAGCAGCTTCTGGCCATTGTGCTGCGGGGAAGAATAGGTCTCTTCCTATTTGCTGCTGATCTCCCCTAACGAGTTTGTAGGCAGCCAGCAAAACCCCCTTCAGCCTCTGCTTGCTGAGGCTGAACAGGTTCAGGCCCCCCAGCCTCTCCTAATAGGGCCTGCCCTTTTGCCCTCCAGCCAAGTGGGTGGCCCTCCTCTGAACCCTCTCAAGGCAGGCCACATCCTTCTTAAAGTGCGGTGCCCAGAATTGGACACAGTACTCCAGTTGACACCGGACCAATGTCGCGTAGAGGGGGAGTGTCACCTCTCTGGACCAGCTTGAGATGCACCTTTGGATGCCCGACAAGGTGTGGTTGGGTTTGCTGGCCGCGGTCTGGCATTAGCGGCTCATGTTCATCTTGGAGTCAATAATGACTCCAAGATCCCTTTCCGCCTCTGTGCTCACAAGGGGGCAACTCCCCAGCTTGTACGTATGCTTCTTCCCAGGTGCAGCACCCTGCATTTATCTACATTGAACCCCATCCTATTACCATCCGCCCACTTCTGTAGTCTGTCTAAGTCTAATTGCAGCCTCTCTCTCCCTTCGAGCGTGCCTACCTCACCCCACATCTTGGTGTCGTCGGCAAATTTGGACAACGTGTTTTCCACCCCCTCGTCCAAGTTGCTAATGAAG